CCTGCTGTTTTCCCTGCTTGCGCTGTCTTTTTCCCCGAGAGAGATTATTATGAGTGATTATTCCACTTGTCTTATTTTATTTTCTCTGCAAGCGTCTATGATGATAGTTCTTGCTTTGAATTGTTCGTCATCTTTTCCCCTTCCTCAATTTCTATGGCTACTTTCTTGGCATTTTCTCTTTCTGGTTATTTTTAAATGGAGATAAAGACTAAGGGAAGGTCTGTTGAGTTTTGGAAAACCGGTTCCTAGTTACGACGGTTGCAATCTCCCCCAGGTCATGTGAACACTTTGGCTGGCCTTCTGACAAGCAAAACCAGTGGGACATTCAGGTTCACTTAATGACCGTGTTATTAAGTGGTTATTAACCGTGTTATTAGCTGCAGGGATTCCCTTAGCAACTGTGGGAAGAACAGTTGTAAAATGGGACAAAACTCACTTAACAAATTAGCAACAAAGTTTAGGTTCAATGATGGTCGTAAGTCACAAGAACTCACCTGCGTAAAGATTTATTGCCAATTTAAGCTCTCGACCAGAATCTGGCCAACTAGCGGTCAAGGGAAATGAGCAGGAGGGAAGAAAGGCAATCAAAGGTTAGGGTTAGGCTGACTCTACCGACTGCCAGAAGTTCAATCCTCACTGACTCAGCCTTCCCTCCTGCCGAGGTGGGTAAAATGAGGATCCAGATTGTTGGGGGCAAGAGGCTGACTCTGTAAACCGCTTAGAGAGAGCACCATGAAGCGGTATATAAGTCTTAAGTGCTATTGATGTTGCTTTGCTGTTCCTTTTCTCCTTCCTTCCTCCCTCTCTTCCTCTCTCCCTCCTCCCCCTCCCTTCCCTCTTTTCTTCTCACCTCCCTCCCCTCTTCCCATTTCTTCCCTCCTCCTCCCCCTTCCTTCTTTTCTTCCTCCCTCCCCTTCCTTCCTTCCTTCCTTCCTTCCTTCCTTCCTTCCTTCCTTCCTTCCTTCCTTCCTTCCTTCCTTCCTGTTAGAATGCAGTATTGCAGGCTGACTCTACCGACTGCTTGGAGTTCAGTCCTGACCAGCTCAAGGTTGACTTGGTTTTCCATCCTTCCATCAAACGAGGACCCAGATTGTTGTTGTTGGCGGGGAAATATGCTGACTCTGTAAACCACTTAGAGAGAGCACGGTGAATCGGTATCTAAGGCTGAGTGCTATTGCTAAGTATCCGGAACATTCCGCCAGGAAAGTCGGCTTTACAAACCACCCTGGTTTCTTTTCGGTGCCGGCTTCTCTCCCGTCCTCACGCAAAGAGTTCTCCGCCACTGTCTGATCCCTTTTCCTCCCTTCCTCAGGCCTGCCGGGACTTTCTGGATCTTGCAGAGGCCCACAGCAGAAAATGGCAACGGGCTCTCCAGCATGAATGCGAGCAGCGTATCCGCCTGGAGGAGACCATTGAACAGCTGGCCAAGCAGCACAACAACTTAGAACGGGCTTGTCGGGGGGCGCCCAGTCTCTCCGCGAACCCTGCGGCTCACGCATCCCGAGGTGAGTGGCCTTTCCTTCCAGGGATGGAATTCTACAGGTTCACACCTTTTTGCTAGAACCGGTTGTTAACATTCTAAGCAGTTCGGAGAACCAGTTGTTAGAAGGAATTACTGGGCTAATCCTGTAAGGAAGGCAGGAAGGAAACATTCTGGTGTTGCTTACAGAAACCGCCTCTCTGTTAACTCTTCTTACATTCTAGGCAGGACTAGACTTCCTGTCTCAGGAACTTCTCTGGAGTTTTTTCCCCCTCCTTTGCTGGTACTTTGCTTGTGTGGAGTGACCATTCAAAGTTACAATGGCACTGAAAAAAGTGACTTATGACCGTTTTTCACACTTACGACTGTTGCAGCATCCCCACAGTCCTGAGAGGCCAGGCGAGGAGATGCGTGCCTCGATGTGAGTGATGTTGAGTTGGCCACGCCCAGCCAGTCACATGACCACCAAGCCATGCCCACCAACTAAGCCATGCCCAGAAAACCGGTTGTTAGAAAAATTGAATCCCACCCCTGCTTCCTTCTCGACCCAGGCAAGACGGGGTGCTTCTGTCGGGCGTGTTGAAGGCAGGTACGTAGCAAGAGCTGATCTGGGTTATCCTGTCTCTTGTAGGAGGAGGAAGCGTGCAGAGCGGAAAAGCAGAACCCAGTGATGAAGATGAGGAGACGGAGTACTTCGATGCTATGGAAGACGCTCAGGCTGTCATCGCAGTAGCTTCAGAGCCTTCAGATCATCACCGGTAGGTTTTTGGGTGCCGTTGTCTATGGCAGGGGTGTTGAACTCAGTTTCATTGAGGGCCGCATCCGGGTTGTGTTTGACCTCGGAGGTCTGGGGGTGGGCGGGGCCATGGTGGGCGTGGCCAGCTTGACCACACTCGTGTTGGGGGCACCGGTGATAACCAAGTGCTAAGGCAGGACTTCCTTGAGACCCACCCTCACATTATAATCCTTCCTTCCTTCCTCCCCTTCCTTTCTTTCTTCCTTCCTTCCACTCCCTCCCTCCTTCCTTCCTTCCTTCCTCTCTCTCCTGGCGTCCCTTCTTTCCCTTCCTTCTGTCCCTTCCTTCCTTCTCTCTTCCTT